TATTTGGTACATCTTATCCCAGCAACCATTGGGCCAATTTTGTTCATACTTGGTAGGATTACACCTTGGCACGAGTAGATGTGCTTTTAGCAATAATGACCACATCCTCCCAAAAATATGCAAATTAAAACAATGCAGTTATTTGATCATTGATTTGACCCAGGTCCTGGTAATATACTAAGACCTTAATTAACAAAGAAGTCATGTACATCAAGGTTCACTCAGATTTATGAATGCAGTTTCTTGAGCAAGTATATATGTATGACGAATAGTTTTGTTGCACTTAGTAGATTCTGAAAATGGGTCAGTGGAAGTTTTTAGTTGTCAGTACAAAACTAGATTATGGGAAATCACTTCATGATGAGTTGTACCCACATAGAGTACATATTCATTCATCTGTTTGCAGATGTCCCTTGTACTACTTTATAATCAAATAACGAGGACTGTGACATTCATGTCTTGTTAATAAGTATCATTGTCAAAAGTAATCATCAGTAAGCCTATGCTATTTAGCAGAAAGCTTATGCTAAGAACATTATAGTTCTGCTAATTCAGACTTTGAAACCTGGCTTTCTCTATAAATTTCCTATATGAAATTAATGCATTATTTCTGTGTTTATTAAATGTTTTGTTTAATTCATTAGGGATCTAGTGTTGTTCTGTATAGAAATGCAGAGATACGCAAGTACCAGATATTTGCATATGGTGGTTGGCCTGGGGGGCTTTTTGGTTCCCCTAGTATGGCAGGAACAAGACCAGGTAACTTTTAGCATCAGAATGATATGTTTAAAGTATATTTAAGCTGGTGTTAATGAATTGTCCTGTAATGTGATTTTTCACCAATTTTGTTTAGATATTTTTCCCGCCCAAATTTCATTGCATTATTTTTAAATATTTTTAATTTTTTGTAAAATTGTCACTAAATTTCATCATCATTTGAGTCCATAAGGACAGTTTCAGATATTGTTTTTAGTTTTTGACCAAAATATTTGTGAATTTATATCAACATTTTATATGGGGAGGAGAAGACTGTATACAAACATTTTGCCAAAAGTTGACAACGGCGCACAAAGGGTTAACTCAATTTGTTGTTTGTGTTGCCTAGGTGGAAACATTGCGGCATCCTGGGTTGCCTTGAGACATCTTGGCAAAGATGGTTATTTAAAGATGGCAAAATCTTTAATGAAGATTACAAAGAAACTAACGGATGGAATCAAAAAAATTCCAGTAAGATAATTTACCTTTCCAATGAGGTGACCTTTTTGTAAGAGACAAGTTTTGAGTTATAGCACCATCAGTTAATTTCCATGCAGGAATTGGGACCTGTTTTCTCAGTTTTCTGATGAGTTACTAAATCAACCCCCCCTATGCCGAAAACATTTTTTCACCAGAGCAGGAGAACTCAAAACTTGTCGTTTAATTAAAATGTTCCCAATTTGTTTCGACAGTAGTATAGAAGTGTCTAAAATTATTTATTAAACCGGTTAGATGGATTTTGAAATTTCCCATTGCAAGACTATTTTTTCCACACAAATTTGTAATTTAATTTTTTTTTTAAATTTACTGTTATTTTTGACATATAGGTTTCCAAGGGGTTGATGAACATATTTAATAATGTAGTAAACGTGATAATGTTCTCAAAATAGTAATTACTTGATTTGACTAAGGGTGGATTTTTTTTTACTACTGTAAAATACTTTATTTTTGCTGAAATGAATTTTTGCTGAGAAGACATTTTTGGTGCTTTGTATGGAATTTATTTTCACTGATTTTTGACATAGGAATGTAAAATATAGGAAAAAAGGTACCGGTATATTCGCAGGATTTTATTTTT